TAAAAGGGACAAGTAGTTAGCATAAATTTGCCATAAATTTGGTAACAAGTGATTTGTGGCTGCAGGCGAGCGGTCTGGGCCCCACATTTTGGTTTTTCTGCATTTTGGTTTTGTTTGTCGAACACTGCGTTTTTGCCCATAAATTAAGGCAACTTTTTATTCACACATACATGCATATTTTAAAAAAAAGTAAAAGGTAAAATGTAAACAATTATCTACGCGCGCACAGCTGCAACACAACCGTAACCACCAATGGCAGTGGTAGTCATGGCAGTGCCACTTACCCTTACCCATTCATATATACATACGCACTTACATATATATATATATATATATATATATACACACACACACCCACACACACATGTGACAGGCCCAGAGATTTATGCGCTACATGTACACATACACATGCAGCAGCAATTCATACAAACACATACCGTCGTCGCCTACATTTGCCAAAGGAATTCGCATCCTTTTGATTAATTGCAGCAACATTTTATTTCTTTTCGGTTTTTGCGTTTCACGCTCCTTTTTGCTTATGCATGTGTGTGTTCTTGTGTGTGTGTGAGTGTGTTTCTGGCAGTTTGGGTTGTGATGGCTTTACTTCGGCTGTTGGCTCCCTTCCATATCTTTACATATTTTTATATCCTGGCAAAAGGTAAAATATTATGCTTTCAACACATAAAAAGTAAAGCACGTTTTTTTACTATTAAATGATTTCTTTATAGAAATTGATTAAATTACTCTTAACAACTCTGTCTGGTCAAAAAAATTAAAATAATATCGTGAAAAATGTAAGAATATGAGTAAAAAAAGAAGAAATTTATTACTCAAAAGAAGAGTAATAAAAATTGAACTACGAGAATAACCGTAAAAAGATTTCTACACCATTTAAGGAAACCATTTTTTGTCAATCGACTGACTATTAAAAAAGAGAATTCTGTTCGAAATCGTGTCAACATTTACTTACTATTTATTTTATGTGTAATTTACTTAATTCCCAATGTATTAATTCATTTACAAACCTAGTAAATTACAAACTTAGTTTGCTTTTTAATTAATTACTTACTTACTTACTTGAATACTTTCATACTCAATTACTTACTCATTTACCCACTTACTTACATACTTAGATATTCACTTCTTTACTAAATCACTTACTTTCTTACTTACTTACTAACTTTGTCGTTTACTCGCTTACTCACTTACTGACTCACTCATTTACTCACTTACCTAATTACTTTCTTACTTATTTAGTTACTTATATATAAATACTTACAAAAACCATTTGTAAACGAATTTTTATCTCAAAAATAGCTCTAAGAGTATATAATATTCGACGAGCACATCAAAATGTTTCCATCTTGATATTTTTTTCCGTCTCTCTCTCTCTTGTTGTATATTTATTTCTAAATACGAGTATATATACTTTTTTCAGTCGCATATTTCACTGCTTAAGATTTTGTGCTCCCTTTTTAGCGGCTCGGTTTATTTGCCAACACGTAGAAGCACTAGGCTTCATAAATATATACAGTATATACATATCAATATGTATGTGGTCTGAGTCGGCGGCTCTTCATGCCCTCTTTTTGCAGTGGATGTGTGAGCTTGAATATTTTTGGCACCAAGACACAGGCGCAGAGAGTATGCTAAGGGAAAAATCGCATTAAATTTATGCACAATTTATGCCTCACACTTCTGTACCTCTGTACTTACTTGTTTCACTGTTGCAGATTGTATTGAATAGATATATAGATTTTCATATGTAGCTTGCCAGCAGCAGGCACAGACACCATAATAAACGACTTAAGAGCATATTCGTCGCTCCATTCAAGTGCAGATTTTGCCAAAGCATGAAATATGCTTTCAACATATATTTTAATTTGCCAAAGAGCAGCCGGTTGAACGAACATAGAGTATAAGCGAATGAAAAATTTTGTATCGTATTTGTATACGCCACCCATTAAATAATATCATTTAGTTAATGGTAGAAATTCAAATTTAAATTTTCCCAATAATTTCTATATATATAAAACAGTTTGTACTGACTGACTCATTGGCAATCAAAGCACAGCCCAAACGGTAAGAGCTACGAAGCTGAAATTTGGACACAAATTTCTTTCCTTTCCAGTGAAAGTGATCATTAAGAAACCGTTTTAGAATATTCGAACTCCAAAGGGTAAAAAACGGGCTCCAACGTTTGTATGAAAAATATAAAATTTTCATCCGATTAACGTAGAACTTAGTTTGTATACTCTCAGAAAGAATACAAAAAAAGCTATATACTTGGTTTTTTGGGTTTAAATATTTAACCACTTTTTTTCAATTGAAAAGCTTGTGTTATAAATTTTGTCCGATGGATTTCAAATTTGGGGCATATAATAATATAATAATAATATAACAGTAGCAAGAAATAACAAACAACACAAATTTCACAAATTTATTATTTAATTTTTTAAAAAATCCACAATTTAATTCTCTACTTGCCAGCGCTTAGGTACTTGGTATGAGAAGCGCAGAGAAATTTTATGTTTCAGGATTTCACAATTCAATTTCAAAATATCATAATTTTATTTTTCAGGATTTCACAATTCCATTCACGATTTGCCAGCGCTTAGGTATTTGGTATGAGAATCGCAGAGGAGGGCGCCCACAATGTTTTAATTTGTCAGAAATTTCACAATTCAAAGCCACAAATTTACTATTTAATTTTTTAGAAATTTCACAATTTAGTTTTTGATTTTCTAGTGCTTAGGTACTTGGTATGAGAATCGCAGAGGAGGGCGCTCACAATATTTTTATTAAATTTTTTAATTTATCAGAAATTTCATGATTTAAATTCACAAATTTATTACTTAATTTTACAGAAATTTTACAATTTTATTCTCGATTTGCAAGCGCTTATGTACTTGCTATGAGAATCGCAGAGGAAGAGATCCCACAATATTTTAATTTAATTTATCAGAAATTTCACAATTTAATTCTACAATATCATTATTTAATTTTTTTTTAATTGGACGATTTAATTCTCGATTCGCCAGCTCTTAGATACTTGGTATGAGCATCGCAAAGGAGGGCGCCCACAATGTTTTTGTTTAATTTATTAAAAATTTCACAATTTAATTTCAAAATATTACTACTATTGTAAAAATATTACTAAATCGTACTATTGTAAATAGTACGGGCATGGTCAGAGTATGTATATGCCCTAGCTTTCGGAATGTACCAATGTGCTATTGGCAGTTCCTTTGGCAACTTTAGAGAGTGTCGGATGAGAAATATCATATTGTAAATAAACTTATAATTGTAACAATAATACTGAGCCCACCAAAGACGGACAAGACCTGCTAGTAGAATATGAAGCTTTTAAAAAATATTATCATGAAGTCATTTTTTAATCAAACTTTCAATTGGTACCGTGTTAAAATCAAGAACAACATCAGCTTTATTTCGATTTTCTTTCTCAAAAAATAGTTGATTATACTTGATTTTAAAATAGTTATTGCATAAAGGGTTTGATAGGAGCCTTTGATGTGAATGCACACACTCAGCCAACAGCAATCTTAAGAGTATTTTAAACATGGTATGAATTAACTTTACACTTAATAGTAAAGGTATTATTCGCAGCTCGAGAAAACGGTAGCCGTTTTTTGCATTCCGATGTCTCTTCGCTGTATTATAAGTATTATCATAATAAGACAGGCATTCAAAGAATATTTTAATTAAATATCCTTTTTAAATGAAATCATTCATTTTCCTTAAGATACTTGAAGCAGCGTGCTTAAATCACAGCATCGTCTTTAAATTGTCATTCTAGAGTCGTTTGTACTCGTAGGATCTTGAAATTTGAGTCTTACGTGTGCACACAAGCTGACGCCTTAAGCATTTGATGAAAATATAATTTTCTTATAGCTAAGCACAATTGATTTTTCAATTTCGTTTACTACCTTTCAACTTAATTTGAACATTTTTTGTCAAAGGCACACTCGTGCGCACGAAGCGCCAACGTGCGTGTGTCAATATTTGCGCTAAAAAGTTGTACACTCGTTTTCCAGTCGCTGGCGCCTCGATTTACTTTCGCCTACATGTTTTTTTCCTTTTTTTTCTTTTGCTACGTTTTGCCAATAAATAGAAATCCTTATCAATTGAAAATTGATTGATACACCCGCGTACTTAGGCTTGCATGTCACTTCAGCAGACTCTAAGGCATTGCTCATTTTTTGCCTAAACCTACTCTACCTCATTCCCAATACCATTCTATCATTTTTTGTCGGCCATTTTCGATTTGTTACCGTCAGCAATATAGCATATGAAAGCTAATCGAAGCAGAGTGGTGTAGAGCGGTGGTGTGGGATGGGCCCTCATCAAAAGTAGATGACGAAATGATTAATGGTCATTTGAGATTAAGAAAAGTCACACGCACACACACACGCACAGGGGGTGACGAACCTCCAATATGGCTACGCGCACGCCCATTTGGGATACCAACCACGGGGCTGTGTTCCTCGCCCACTGCCCACTGGCTCCAACCTGTAATTGGGTGCTGAGGGGTGAGTTGGGTGTTGGGCCCTCGCCACTTTTGAACATGTTTGTTTGTCTATTTACTGTTAAGCAGCCAATTTGAACTCTGGGCGTTGGATCAATCAATCTGCTATTATATTTATTGTTGTTATTGCAATGCTTACACGTAATTGCTTTTTGATATTTTTTTCCTTCTGCCCTTAAGCTGTATCTTTTTGCCTTTTGAGTTTTTCAAAATTGCATCGTCATCGTGTTGTTGTCGTCGATTTGTGTGTGTGTTTGGGTATGCCTTTGTGTGTATGTGTGTGTGTGTGTGTAACAAATTGTTGATGGATTGACAAATATTTGTTCAAGACGCACGAACGACCCTGAAGCGGACATATGCCTCACATTTTCACAAGCCCTTAAACTAAACGAAGGGCTTCATTGTATATATTTTGCTAATGGCATGCTGCCTTTTTACCCATCTTTTCTTGTAGGTATCATGGATACGCAAAAAGGATTATCATCTGTTAACAGTCGGTCTGACCACCTACAGCAGCGATGAGCGCTTCAGCGCCACCCACTTGAAACATTCCGAGGTGAGTAAGCACAAGGACACGGAGAGAATTGGCAATTGAAGCAATTTGAAACTGATTGCTTGCTACGCCATGTCGGTAGACTTCCGAGCAGTTCGTCAGTCAGTTTGTCTGTCTGTCTGTCTGTCTGTTTATCTGTCTGTCTGCCTGTCAGCTAATGGCAAGGTCACTATACCAACCAATTTCATACAACTCCACGCATCGTGAAGCACTCACGCACGCACGAATGCAAGCACGCGTAACAATGCGCACATCCTTGAACTATGCGACATGCACCACTGAGTCTAACGGCATCGCATATGCTATACGTGGCAACATTTTTCTGTCCCAATCCAAAAAAATACACTCCTGCACGTGTGAGCATATATCTGTCATTCTGTCTGTGTGCTTGTGTGTGTGTGTGCTGTGTCGCATATTGCAAAATATTGACACGTCTAAGCAAATGCAGAGCAATGCAGATGGAAAAAGGAAAATAATAAAACTGCTACTGCATCAACAATACTTGTATATATAGTTCAGTGGTGCAAAAATTTATTTTACGCAGAATATTATTTATTTATACTTGTTTATATATTTTTTGTTGATTTCGTGGTGAAAATATTTTACGAAGCTTCTATTTCTGCTTTTTTTATTTGTGTCAAAACTGAAAGACAAATTCTTGCAATAACTATATTTTGGATACATTAACATTTTTATTAATAGCAGCTATTTGTTTTCCATTGAAACAAAATTGCTTATAAGGTACTTTTGTTATTATTAAAATATTACAAATGTCACTTAATTCTATTTTAAATTATGGATTAGATTATAATTTTAATCTGCACTCTACATTTGATTTTTAAAATATTTGCACATAACATACATTTGCAGTGATCCACTGTTCAAGCCCAACAATTTTCTATATCTATATGTGTGTATATTGCAACAGTTCATTTCATAATATATTCATGCATATATGTATCTCACACAGGATTGGACATTGCAAATAAAATTCGTGCAACTACGTGATGCAGGCGTGTACGAATGCCAAGTATCCACACATCCGCCCACATCGATATTTCTGCATCTGAGTGTAGTCGGTAAGTAAGCAGATGAAGCGACAAATGTACTCGATAAATGGCAATCCACTCAGCGCCTTAGTATTGGAAACTCCCCATTGTTTTTGCATTCAAGTGGAAGCAAGTAGTCTGCTCCACTAAAGCGCAGACTTACTCATGCCTAAGTGCAAAGATTTTTCTTCTTTATAATTTTACGCTTTAATGCATTTTCCAAACTGCTGACCCACTAAATACGAATAAAAAATGAAATGTGAATTGTGCGTCTGAGATCTGAGCAGCTCGAGAACTTGAAATGGAAAAATGTCAGTAGAGCGGCCACTCACTCGTGCAATTTTTCTGGGTTTTGGCAAGCATTTTATGCGCTCGAGCCGAAATTAGAAACATCTTTATGCCAGAAAGATAGCAACAAAGTCAGTGTGTAATCGTGTATGGGACGCTGGTCTGCCAGTCAGACAAAGCCGACTAGAAAAGAGGGAACAGGCACACAAGCAAACAAACACACTCGCATCCACATAACAATGGAAACGACTCAGCAAATTTCTAACATCGTCGGCGTTGGCAGTCAGGCATGTGGTCGTGGCAAAGTGACGCACATTATTCTAAATTTAACAAACAATTTGCCATGAATGTGTAGGCCCTAATGGCCATTTTTTTCTCTCACAAAAACAAAGCTCAGAAGCAAAAAGAAGAAGGGTCAAATTACGATTCTTACATGCTAATGTGCAGCACTATGTCGATTTCACATGACTACGATATACTCTGAAACATACATATTTAACTAAGTCAGTCTCATCGAATTTACCTTTTTGATTAAATTAGGAAGAAACTAAGTTCCAAACTTTTGGGCTAGCAAATTTATTTTTGTTACATAAAATAATGCTTAAATTGTAATGTGCATTTTTAGCTATATATGTATAGTATTCCAATATTCCAGCGGAAACAGCCTTCAGAGTATTCAGCGTGTCTCGTAGTCGTGGACTTCCAAATGAAGATATTTTCATATACGTATTTTGCATTTTGGTTTTGATTTACTTTAATGCTTGAATTGTTAATTTGCAAACTACTTGTAAAATTGCTCCCAAAACCCCTTCAAATTTACTTGATAATGGAACAGACCACAAAACTTTTTTGAAAAATTACTTTTCACTTAAATTTGTTCGTACAATGACATTGATTACTGATTGGTTTAATTGGTTTCATTTCCAATCAGGATCTTTTGATTAATTCGATTGCCATTGCTGTTTTGTCAGTTCCTTGTGAATTTTAAAAATGAACATTTAAGACAACTTCTTCTTTGGCTCATTCGGTTCAAATTTCAAAAATTTAAAGCTACAAATTGAGTATTTTCAGTCTAAGGGAATAAAATAAATAATAAACAAAATCTAGTTATTTTATGAAGAAACGGTATTTATAAAACTGACGCGTCATATGCATTCGCATACAACCTAATGTTTGCCCAACTCTGAACTAAATTTAAATGCATTTCTACCTCTTTAACATGCTACACACCCAATTGGGCCGATAAATTTCCAATTTCCAAAATGTCATTCCATTCGGTTAGAAGCACGCGCCGAAATATCAGGACCACCAATACGTTATCTAACGCCGGGCTCCACGCTGCGCTTACAATGCCGTGTTGTGCAAAATACCGAGGCTTCGGAGTATATATTTTGGTACCATGACAACCGCATGATTAATTATGATATAGATCGGGGCATAAATGTGTCCACCGACCCAGGTAAATGTGTAAGCTGGCTGTGTGTGTGCACAGTAAATATTTATGCTGCCAACCATTACAGATTTTCAATCATCCGAGCTTACTATTTTGCGCACACGTCGCGAGCACTCGGGAAATTTCACATGCGTGGCCAGCAATACCCAGCCTGCGAGCGTTTTGGTTCACATTTTCAAAGGTAAGTGAGGGGACATTTTTTTTAAATGCATCAGCAATTACTATTAATTTGATGTGCAATGGGGTGAAAGTGGGAATTCAATTTACAGAATTCGCGAGCATTGCAAAATGGCATAAATGCTCGAAATGAATATAAAGGAAATGTTCATTGTTGTTGTTGTTTTACTTCAAACACCAGTATGTACGAGTACACGTATAGTGAAAAGCTCTTTCACACTTCGTACATCAAGCAGGAAAAAGCAATAAAAGTAATTTATGAAAATACCGCAACCACAAGCATGCGGATTAAAAACGCCCGCAAAAAAGCACGAAGCGACGTCGCGCTGCCATTAAAGGCTATGCAGGAAGCGGCCATAAACAGCAACTAAGCACCCACACACATGTGTGTGAACACCTCCACGTTGCATGGCTGGCCGGCCATGTTAACGGCATATAAAACTAAGTGCTAAGGCACACACATCATATTTTATAATACTTATAAGCGTCGCATGGTTTCTGACAAACTTAGGGGGAAGAAAGGATTTGTGCAAAATGGTAGCCACTCATTAAGCTTTGTTGTGCCAGCTCATGTTTGTGCTTTCACTCTGTTATTTGTGTATAGTATGTGTATCCCCAGACGACCACAACTATCTCGTTTAATTAATTTGTACACACTTTCTCTCTCGCCCACTCTCAATGTCTTTTGTATTGTCTTTTCCTACACAGGTGATAACCCCGCGGCTATGTATCATGGACACGTCGGTGGTTCAACCAAAACGGCGCAGTCGCAACTACATATTTTTGTGGTAATCATTGCCATCGGCTACCGGATATTTCACACAAGCATATATATGAAGATTGTGTAGATTGTCACGGAATTGTCAGATGTTACTAACTTGTAATTAGTTAAGCAAGAACAGTCTTTTCTACGAATCACTCCTACTCTCTTCTCTCTTGTACAAGCAAACAGATACATACTCGTACATACATAACATAAACGATTCATACATACATACGTACGCAACTTTCATTATCAAACTAGCATAATACATACATACCTTCAAGCACTACAAACAAACAAACAAAAAAAAAAAAAAAGAAAGAAAAACACCCACATCACTTACTTACGCTCTATCAATAACTCTCTATGAAAGTATCATCAAATGTTTGGCGAAATTGGTAAGAATAAATCAGTAAATGTATGTACTTAAGCCCTTCATATATAACTATAGCAAACGATAACTTTATTTATATATATATATATATATATATATATACATATATATGAAATATATACATACATGTGTGTGTAATTGTAATTAATAGGCGCTTTAAAAGAGCACTATTGGAAAGCCGTTGATGGAAAGCCGTAATAGTTAAACTTCAATTTTAAACCATAAGCTATAGTTGTTTGTCTTTTTATTGAGGTGCATGTAACTATTGCAAGCGTTTCATTTAATATTCTATTGAGTATTTAATACAATCCCGACGGCTTTTATGGTTGGAACGAGAAACCAGCATAACCATTAACGTGTCGCAATGAGCAGAGAATTCACTTGAAAATGTATAAAAGGAAACAAGTTTTTGAACTAAAAGCATGAAGAGCTTTTATGTAAGTGATTTTAAGTCAACTTAATCATAGATATGTATTAAGTTATACAAAAAAAAAAAAAAAAAAAAAAAAAAAAAACTGAAAGATAAAAACCAGAAACTAATCTTAAAACTACAATTATCTTATATACAGCTGTCTACAACATGTATGTCTAGTCCTACTCCTTTTGTAACACAATTAAATTAAGTACTTAGTTTTTATAAAAGCAGTTATTTGATTTAGATTTGGTCTATGGAAATTGTATATACAGAACTATTTAATTGCTACCATTTAATAATTGCTAAATAAATTTAATTTAGTTTTGAGATCAACTTAATTTTATGAATCCTGTAAATAAACTTTTGTTACAATTAAAAACTAGACAACTATTAATTATAAGTAATTACTGAAAATCTAAAACTGAGAGCAGTTAAGTTATTTGCATAAATGCAAAAAAAAAAAGAGAAAAGAAAAGGAAAGTATATTCGTTGGCTTAGTACTCATTTACGGCAAAATTCTCAAATAATAATTGAAAAGGTCGGGTAAAGTGCAAACGGGGAAAAAAATAAAGAGCATTCTGCATTGCTAACAAGCAATAACAACTTTGAAATCAAACGTTTAACCAGGCGCGCGAAAATCAAATCAAAATAGTCTAAGCTAAGATATTTGGCAAGTTGAAAGTAGATACCGTCATCAATAGCTGTTTGAAAGAGCTGACAACATAAACGGCATCCTGCAATCAATCAAGAAAACATAAAAATAAATCGGCAGCTCCCAAAGTAAGATTTTGAAATAATCATAAAGTCACAGTATTGCTAGAATAATGCCGAATACTTACTAAACTGGGGAAGATAACAATGTAAATAAGAATTAGAATTGATATGTACACTTGTAGTAAATGAAGAGGAATATTCCAGAATACACAAGAAAGATAAATTTGAAAGAAAAGCCATTTCTAGAAATTAAGTCTGTGTAGTTAAATGTAATAAAAATTTGCAAAATCAACATGAACGAGAAATAAAACATAATAAAATTATGCAAAAAAAAAAAGAAAATACCACTACTCGCATTTTAATATAATATCAAGGAAACGGAACTAAATACGCCAGACTCCATCAATCCTTTATGCAAACGAAGTGTCATGCGACTATTCGGTATTGCAATATGGCTTATTAGTAAGACGCTGGCTTGTCTGGCTACTGCCTCATTGTGTGCACTAAGTTGCTGTCAACAGGCGGCTATCAGTATCAGCATGGCAACAACAACAAAAACCACTTCTCCACCAGACGCTGCTCACTTTTCTCTGCTTGCCATTTTCTTTGCTCCCACTACAGCTTCCTTTTCTTCAGTTAATAAAAGCTAAATTGTGTGCTGAGAATGATGACAGCGCGTGGAACGAAGGATGACGACAATGGCGAGAGGGGATGCTCCTGACGTTGACGGTTCCCTCTGGCATTTCGAGGGCCACGTTGACGCTTGTGGCAAGTTATGCATAAGATGCACCCGTCATAGTGCACTCCATTAAAGCGTGCCTCAAGTTGACGAAGAAAAAGTGACCTCTTGAAAAATATTTAAACCATTCTTATCATCTTCTAATTGCATAATTCTACAAATTATTTTCCATACAACTTTAGCTTTGTATTCAGCCAATAGACAGTTCACAGCTCTCCTTGCGTTTTATTTATTTTGCTTTTAAATACATTAAATCAACATAGAGTCCAAGCCACACTCTAAAGTGGTTCCTTTAGATGTATGAGAAAGTTCTCAAATGCATACATACACATACGTGTGCTGGAAGCTAATACAAGTTTTCTACAGATTTTGAGCACAAATTGTGGAAATTCTAATGGGCAACCGCAAATTTGCTCAAGCCTGCCGAGTATTCTGCAAATAAACTCAATTAAACTAAATTTAATTCATTTAAATTGAATGATATCCTATTTATTTAATGGAGTCACTTGTGAACGCTCTGCAGCTTTAGATTTTCTAAATGTCCCAATGCCTTCTGCGGTTGTTAAACTTTCCGAATCTTACCAACACTCAATTAAATTTAAAGCCTTACACAATGTGTGTATAAACATCGAAACTATTGATAGACTGCACCTGAAAGGTACAAGAGTATAGTATGTCCAGACTGTGCAAAGTAGAAAATATTACAGGCAGAGGGGGGCGTTGCATGATACGACGATTTAGCCTGTACATCCGTCCGTATAAGCACCTAGATGCAGACACTATAGGAGCAAGAGACACCAAAATTTGCACACAGATCTCTTATATAGTATCTGTACGCAACACATGTATGTTTCAATTTCTTTTTCCTTTTTCCCCCACACAAGTCAAATTAAGATTTTCCCTGGTTTTATAAGAAGTTATAGCAAAACATGCAATCTCTGTCGGAGCTCTGCCAGCAGCTGTAAGCTTTGTAGCTTTGTATTGCTCACTGACTCACACACAGAGAGGCATTGCCACAATGGCGATGCAATTATGAATTCGAGCCCCAAAGGAGGTATAATCGATCAACTTTTTATTTATTGCAATTCTTCTTATTGCCACTTTCCACTTCTCACTTTTATGAATACATTCTTATGTATGTTCAAAATCTTATTATTATTAAACTATTATCCTTATAACTATCTCGACTAATCTAGTTGTATAGAAGGTAATGACCAAACCTGAGGTATGGAAAATTATACCAACTAGGTGCATCAAAATCTTTACAAAAACTGGTTTCTCCAATTTATATAAATGAATTCCATAATTAAATACCACTTTAACTATCTCCATTTTTGGCTTATCTGCCAAAATAAGAATTGAAGTAAGTACTTATGTGCGTATGAGGAACTCTTATTTTGCTTATAATTGCACTAAAACCGCCAAATAAACCAAAAATGTGCAGAGTGCACCCGCATCCGCAACTGTTGCCATTAAAAGCAGAAAAGCTTCTTGTGCCAACATGTTTGCATGTGCCAAAACGCTAAAGGCGATTTCAGTCAAATCAGCCACAGAATGTAAAGCAAACTAGAAAAAGTTTTATACTGATATGTACATAGAATTTTTGTTGCTGCTGTTATGTACACAAGTACTTATCAAAAAGCACACAGCATACATACATACAAACATACATACATACACAGTGCCATAAAGGATGTCATGTGCACACATACGAGCATATTTACATACTCGTACGTTAGCGCACAACTGAATAGGAAGGCAAAGTGCTGTGCAAAATGGAAACCAATTGTCATAAGTGATTATTTAGTGGATCAAATAATGTCAGTTTAGGATAGGATAGGATATAGACTATATCCTGTCACCTAAACACCTAACTTCGAGTAGAGCGATGAGCTTTAGATAGCGGAATAAGCACATTTTCTATACCTATCTAAGTATGTCTACAGGTCAGCCATGTCTACAATAAAAACCCAAGAATCTATGAACATCCACATTTTAGAAAGTACTACCTTGCAGCTGTTTTCATTTCCTTTTTTTCAGTTTATTATTCACGCACTGAAAGTTGTATTATCTTGACATATAGAATCATTCGTAAAGAGCTCTCTTTATTAATATTTTTGGTGAAGGGGAATTCTCATTTTTTCAACCAGCTGGTTCTATGGAAGCAATTGATGTACCCTGAACCTTAGTTACAAAGCTGTAACAGTAAAATGTATTTTAATAAACAGTTATAAGGTCTTTCATTAATGACTTAATAATCAAAATTGTCTACAGAAGAAGAAATATGTTTCTTTTTAAAACTTCAGAGATCCAAGATTTGAAATATTTGCAAGCAAATGTCAAAATAATATATATATATATATATATATATATATATATATATATATATATATATATGTGGGGTTCTGTTTATTGGTTAAGCTGATATTTGGATTACAATATAATATTTAGGAGTATTTGAAATATAAAAGTGATTAAACTTCATTTAACATCGTTGGCTCGTCTTATACATCGTTGGCGGACCGTCTGTCCTTCACTATGACTCAAGGCGAACTCTCTGCGTCGTTCATGGACCGTCTGTCCTTCTCGACGAACTCTACTCGAACGTTCTTGGACCGTCTGTCCTGCTCGACGAACTCTACTCGAATCGTTGTTGGACCGTCTGTCCTGCTCGACAAACTCTCGAAGACTCTCGCACACGCCGCCCGTCATAGCTTTGTGTTGCACTTCTTGCCGCCGTTGTTGTCGCCTCTCGTCATTTCGCCGAACTCTATGCTTGCGCCGTCGATCACTTCATAATTGTCGCCTTCGTAGTTTTGTAGTTTTGCCTCTTCTCTATGGCTCCGTTATACTTATTGTTGTCTAGGGTTGTTTAGTTTATTCGCTTATATTCTACCAACCATCCCACATATATATATATATATATATATATATATATATATATATGTAAAGTGGCATCCTTGTGCCATTATCATCAGTTGGCACCCCCGATCAGGCGAAGGTGTAATTAAGAAGAAGTCGTGGGATAGTTTTTTTTCAACAGTCGTAAGCAGCAGTCGTG